AACCCTAACTATAGGAAGAAAAACAGGAAAGTCTTAATCCTAGTCTTAAAAGTGGACCAAGTGTCATCCTCACTGACAGAAAATGGAAGTTGGTTTTACAAAAGAGTATTGAGAACTGAAAGCGCTGCCTCACACTCTACTTTTAGAAACTCCAGGAACCAAAAGTAAACCTTCAGTCTGAGACTTTACTCTCAGACTGCAGTCTATTTTGAAAAGATGGAACAATAATATGGGCAGCACGGTGGCGCAACTGGTAGAGCTGCTGCCTCTCAGCGAGCAGGTCCCTGGTTCAAACCCCGGTCCAGGGGCCTTCTGGGTGGAGTTTGCATGTTCTCTCCGTGCATGTGTGGGTTTTCTCCGGGTACTCCAGTTTCCTCCCACAGACCAAAAACATGCATGTCAGGCTGATTGGTAACTCTAAATTGTCCCTAGGTGTGAGTGAGAGAGTGAATGGTTGTTTGTCTCGTTTGTCTCTGTGTGGCCCTGTGATGGACTTGCGACCCGTCCAGGGTGTACCCCGCCCCTCGCACAGTGATTGCTGGACATGGGCACCAGCGACCCCCGTGACCCAAAATGGAACAAGTGGGTAAAGAAAATGGATGGATGGAACAATAAGATCAAGCTTTGTATTTTAGAAGTAAGATTTAAACTTTATTCTGAATTAACAGGGTGCCAATCATCAGAACTCCAGCAGGAACATTTTAGATCAACTGAAGACTTTTTATAGTTTTTTGGACACCCAGATCATAAAGAATTACAGGAGTCCAGCCTAGAAGTGATAAGTTCTTGGACCTGTTTTTCTGTATCTGTTTGGGACAATATGTTTCTCATCTTAGTGATTCTGTTCAGGTGGAAGAAAGTGTGGACCTGGTAACGGTTTTATTGTGGTGGCTAAAGGACATCCTGATCCAAAATAACACCAAGGTTCACCAACACCAGTTCTGAAGAAGCTGCTGCAGGATGGAGCTGATGGGACCAACAGAGTTCTGAACCAGTTGTAACTTGTGAAGGGATTGTGAAGGTCACTACAAAGATCCTGATCCAAGAAGTCACAAGACTTTGGACAAGGGCGGCAGAGGAGTGTGGGGTAAGAGGGGGACGGAGGCAGTTCATAGAAGCAGACCGGGGAACATAATCGATGTGGGACGTGGAGGAAAGAGAACTGTCGAGGATAACACCCAGACTCTGGACCAAAGGAGGAACCAGCGTGATGTTCAGTGGTAGGAGAAAACATTCAACTTTTGAGAGAGTACCGACCAGTGGTGGGCACAGTTCCACTAATCCACTGACAGCTATAGTGGAATTCACTTTTCGTTTAGCGGATTAGCGTTTTCACTTAGAGGAATTAGCTTCCGCTTAATTAGCTTTCGCCAACTTTAAGTATGCTAACAAAATTGACAAGCTTGTTCCTGTCCATTGTGGGCGTGTCTCAGAGTCTGTTAGGTATGATATTGGCTGACTACGTGTTCTGTGCACGTGACAAGACGTGTTTGGTCGGTGCAGCTTCAACTGGAAGGAGATGTAGACATGTGATGCAGACTGAGTGGCAGTTGTCTAAAGCGGTTGGCAGTTTGGCATTATCTTCCACTATATATTTTTTACTTGTTTAGTGGTTTAGCATTAGCAAAGCTAATTATTTAGTTAGCGTAAAAGCTAACATTTTTATTAGCCGTGCCCACAACTGGTACCAAGAAGGATGATGTCTGCTTTATCACATTTAGTTATAAAAATTTAAAGAAAATCACTAATTGAGCGAAGGTGAGATTAGGTTTAACAAGTAGAGCCGGGTGTCATCTGCATAACAGTGAACATGGACACACCAGATTTAAGGAAGTTGTGACCTCAGGGAAGAACGTATAAGACAAAGAGGGACCCGAGGACAGAGCCTTGGGGCACACTTGTAGAGATGGGAGAAGACTGAGAAATGAAAAACTGAAAGACTGAAAGAACTGTTCTTTTGTATTCAACATTTTTTTAACAACTGGAGACGTCAAATTGTTTCAGTTTTTAAATCTGTTCAGCAGCAGTTCATTTTTAAGAAAGTAAAAGTAACAAAAATGTTTTTAACTTAATTAAAAATAATCTTTATTTTAATGGATTTTATCTTTTTTTTATTAGAATCTGATGAGACATTAAATAAAAATAAAACACAGGGAAAAAAAATCTCAGTAAAATTGTAAACGACTCGATGAAATAACCGTGCAGCGTATTTGAAATCTTTAATATTTTAAACAATTATTTTTCATATCATGAACTTGTCTGTTTAAACATTTAAAAGTAAAATGACTTTTAATCAAATATTTGATCAACAGAACTTTGTTTTTAAAACTAATAAAAAATTAAATTCAAATAAATGAATTAAATTTGATAACGTTTCATTGATTTTTTTTGTTTCTGTTTAAAATCTGTAAACAAAATTATTTTGTTAGTTCAGTTATTTGTCAGGTTTGATGTTCATTTGTAAATAAAACAAATATTTTTAGTTTTTCTGAAAACTAACTTACAGATAAAATTAATCAAATAAGCTTTGTTTATTGATAACTTTTTATGCAGTCAGGTGTAAAAAAGCATTTTTAAAGAAGTAAAAAAATTGTAAAAACAAAGAAAACAGTTTTGACAAATTATTTAATGACTTTAAAGTTTTAATGTTATTCAACTAAAAATTATTTTAAAAAATCACAAAACATGAATCTACTGAAGGTAAAAACTTTTTTCATTCCCAGATTTCTTTATCATAAATTAAGTTATATAATAATTATAAAAATCTTGTAATAATTTAATTATTTTTCTCCAAGACGTTTGTTTATTCGGTCTGTTTTTATTGGTAAAACAAACAAACAAACAAAAAGACTTCACAGATTTAATTTTTATCTTTTAACTGCAGTCATACAGAAGTATTTAAAAATAAAATCACAAACTGATCTTTTTTAAGAGCAAAACTTTTTGAGTTTTATGAAAACTAAGATTGAAAAGAAAAGTTTGATGAAACAAAATCGGAGGAAGATTTTAAACTTTTTGTTAAAAAAAATCTAAAAAAAAGAACTTTGGCCTCAGAACCAAACAGGAACTACCCCCCCCCCCCCCGTACCCTCTCACCCCCTCCTCACTCTCTCACTCCTTGTCACTTTCTCACCCCCTCCTCACTCTCTCACCCCCTCCCCCATTACTTTACCCTCAGATTTTGTTGCCTTCATGTTCACTCGTAAATGTCAGCTTCAGTCTGAGTGTCTTGATTGTTCATAAATCGACGTGAATTTCTGCGACACTTTCTTTTTCTTATGAATTTGAAGTTCAGCTTGAAAAAAACCAACAACCTAAAAATAATTTTAATAAAACCTGAAACTGAATCAATGAGTCAAAAAGACGGAAGTTAAATTAAAACATGTTTCATATTTCACCTCCAACAAGAACAGAAGAGTTCAAATTAATTTTGAAAAACAGTTTATGAAAGTTTATTATCTTTAACAACAGCCCCCCCCCCCCCCCCCCCCCCCCATATAAGCACGTCCACCCTGCGGCTCGAGGGTGGGGGCTGAGCAGAGAGGACGACAGGGGGGGGAGTTAGGGCCACGAGGAAACGAGCTGATTTGCCCTGGAAGTAATCCCCCCCACCCCCCCCCCCCCCCC